TGAAATCCTGGTGATACCAACGATTGCCGCAGAAATCTAGAGAGGAATACGTCATCGCCTATAGCAACGTCATCACATTACTATTGATCTCATTCTTTTGCTCCGTTTAACCACTTGCACAATGTCTCTAAAGAGAAAGCACCTGAGAAAGCTTCCCAAAGGAAAACTCAAAAGATCTCCAAAAGTAAGTCACTCTCAAAACAATCCACTAGTACTAGCTTTAGAGTTTGTTGATGTGTCTCTTTTCATCACTTTATACTTATAAGAATCTACTTACTGCCTTTTGACTTTTTTCTTCAGTTATTATTATCTCTCTATCCTGCCATTTTATTTGATTGTCATACCTAACACTCTAACCTGTCTTTGCAAACATGTCTTCTACATAAGACATAGAGACTCCTATCCAATTCATAGTACACCTTTTCCACAAGGGTGTGTTACAGAGTTCTTCTATAGTCAAGGTTGAAGAGGGTGATACTGTGATTGATCAACTCTGTCAAGCTGTTGTTAAGAGTGATGCTTTCAAAAACAAGCTCAGTGGCATAGACTCATCTGATCTGAAAGTCTACAAGACTCAACAAGATACAAGTGATCCAGAGAATGCTTTGAATGAGTTTGCCTTGCTAACTGACCTTCATTCAATATCAAGGCCATGATGCCTTTGTTGTGGTACCATCAAAAATGGATTCATGCTCTGTTGCTGTTTGTATTTGTGTGGTGCCATTTTCTATTATAATTACTTGTCCATCTTGGCAAAAATGTTTTCATGTGCTCAACATTTATGTGTGGGTAGGGTGTTCTATCTCAAACTAGCTTTTGTTGTTGCTAGAAGTCAGCCAGTGCTCCTGCCTCCTACAATAAAACCACAAACAGTTATATTCCCTGTGGATACCATTTCTGATTTTAGGCAGTTGAGAGTTAATGGCTATTTCTATGTTGACAATGTATATTGAACAAATTGAGAAAGATCGGAAAGCATTGTTATTTTTATGACCAAAACGATCTGGCAAATCTCTGTTATTGTCTACACTTAAATATTTTATGATATCAATTATATGGAGCAGTTTGACAATCTATTTGGTTCTCTCAATATTAGCATGCATGCTGAAGAAATGAACCATAATCATTATCTTATCCTTGAGTGGGACTTCTCTCTTGCTCAGAAGTATGCTTGCTGAATAAATATGTTGTGTGGACATGTTTATATGTGGTATTGGTGATAATACTTTGTACTGATCATATCTACTCATGGCTCTGAAATGGAAAAATAGGTCTACAATTATTCAAGAAACAAACATTGAGTTGACAAAACACATTAATATTAATGAATCATTACAAAATTCTACAATAACTATTATAATTTACTTCTACTTCATAATGTCATCAAGGAGAATCTAATCAATGGGTCCACTGACATGCCACTCATAGATGATAAGAGCTGTACTATTACACTTGCAAAGCTGTTTGATATAGTTCACAGAGCTGGCTACCAGGGAAACTATTCCCAATATGTATACTCTACAATTTACTTTCATAATAATAATAGCTGGTTTTTGTTAACAATTTCAGATCTACCTTTTACTTTTAATTGATGAATATGATGTGATTTTACAAATGAGTTCCTTGATCCACTTGATGCATCCTCATTTCAACATCTTGAAGCAAAGCAAAGTGTTCTGAAAGCTATCTTTGGTGTGATCAAAAATTGTTGTGGTAGAGGAATTGGGCGTGTTTTTATAACTGGTTAGTGGATTTTAGCAGATGTGAAATGTTTACATTTTATATTAATAACACTTTTTAATGTACAGGTGTGTTGCCAGTTACTGCAAATGGCTTATCTAATGGATTCAACATCTATCATGATATCACACTTCAAGAAAAATATGAACATATGTGTGGATTTGAAGAGGGGGATGTGCGACGCGGTCTCGAACTTATCTTCAAAGAGGATATGCCCTCCACAGAGTGTATAAACCAGATTGAACATCATGTTGATGAAATGCGCAAGAATTATGATGGCTACAAATTTGCAATTGATGGGGATGGTGGGATATACAGTACAATACTAACATGTGTTTAGACTACTTATCCCGTCTACATTCTGGTAGCGACCCCCAATATACAACTAATAATGAGTTGGGTGGAACAACTCTGAAATTCATTAAGCGACATCCTATGGCCTCTGACTTGCTCAGTGAATTGATGAGAGAGAAAAAGACATCATATGAAGAGATTAACCTCCGACGAAAAGATCTTTATGTCAGTAATAGTAGTGAATTTTTGAAATCATTTCTATTTTATTGTGGTGGATTGACATTTGCGGGTACACCCAACACTCTCTGTACACCAAATCGTGCTATAGCTGATGTAATCATCCAGCGTGTCCTTCAACTCTATAATATCAATACACAAGAAGGAACATTCAGGGCGGCTGTTAGAGAGCTTATTGATTGTGGTAACATTGCCTCACTATTACTATGTGAAAGATTTTATTAAGTGAAGAAATTATCGTGACGATAGAAAATTAGTTACAAAAGTGATGTTTCATGCCTCATTTTTAACAATACCAAACTATACTTGTGATACAAAAGTACCCGTTGACAAATTTTATAGTAGCAAGCAACATATACATACTAATACTGGTAATGGCTACATTGACATTTTACTGATTGAAGCCAGACCTGCTCCTGGCAGAAAGCCAAAGCGCTTCATTCTCGAGTTCAAATGTAAAGGTGTCACCTATTTGGATGTGGGTAAGTTTGATTTGAAAATTTCTCTTGGAGATTTGCATTTTTTATTGCTGAATTTTCTCTTGCGTGATAGTGCCTTTCACATACATTCACTTGCTTACAGTTACATGTCTTGTGAACTAGATAATAATAATGTTCATTCAGCTACCAGGAGTACTTCAGCCAGCAATCCTCCAGCTGGGAACTCTTTGACAGGCAGACCTTTGATTGCACAACCTTCAGTTACTGAGTATTGCTGGGCCGAAATGGAGAGAAGGGCACAAAAAATCGAAATTATGTCAAAAACGAGTTACTCGAGTTACAGTGTAACAACCGAGACCGCTTTGATGGGGGCAAGTCCATCTATGATGTTTTTCAAAGTGCTGCAGAACAGGTGAAACAATATGCACATGGGTTGGGAGAGTTCAACACAAGAGCATTTGTTGTGCTTGTGGTGGGGTCAAGGAGACTCATATATGGACAGGTTGAAATCGCGTAGAACAATGATGACACTGATGTGGAGTGATAGGATGATCAGTGATGGTTCCTTATCCCTCAGAAAACGTGATAGTTGAGTTGCACTTAGGCAGTTTAGTTATGTATGTACGGTTGACCTGTTAGGGATGCGTAAGAGGAAAAGTAGAAAGACGGGAAATACACGCGAACCAAGCTAACATGTGTACAATTGGCAACAAATCCTGCAAAGAAATTCAACGTACTCAAATAACCAGTCATTGCTTCTCACTATTACCACCATCTAAGTACCAACTAATACATCCAAATGAAGATTAGCAACAACAGGCACACTTTACCCCAATGGACGATAATGTACTGTGTGAGTATGTACAGTGCCCTCCAATAAATGAGTGAGTAACACAAAATTTTGCAAATTATACATCAAGTTCGCGCGCATGTAA